TTTTTTTTTCTTGAACTAGTCTATTTACCCGGCGATGTGCTTATTTTTATTTCCAAGAAATCCGCTATGCAGCGAGAGCAATAGAAATAGTCTCTCAATGACGTGCTGCAATCGTTGTTGTAACGTGAGACTTATTCATGACATCATCGTTATTGAGATTTAAATGAGGATGAATGCTATAGTTACACTTCATTGAAAAATGTAAAGTATGAGACATTAAAAGTGAGTGAAATTCAGAAAAAATCTATGTGGTTTGTTGCAGTTGATTCTAAGTTGTTGAAACTTCAGCAGTCAAGTTGGTCATTATCGATACTTTTAAACGGTGGCAGTAAGTATAGTTAGGGTAGATAGGGTTCATGGCTAGGGTCGGTTGAATGATGGAAATCTATTAATAATTGGATTCAGAGAGTTTGAATGATGGGAGTTCTATTAAACTGGATACAAAAAGAATTTGTAAGTACTAGTATAGTTAGGTGCATATATAGATATAAAATTATATGTTACAAGTTTCCTATTAAGGATCATTTCAATAAAATCACCTATTTAATTAATAGAATTCTGAAACTGAACTAAGCATATCCATTAGTAATTCCATACTCATTCCTGTGCTTGGTTCAAACAATACCTTTACCCATTCCTTTTTCCTCTAGTCCCAAAGCAATGATGAGCCTTTGGGGAAGTTGGAGAAGATGGTTTGTCTGGAGAAGAGACGAAATGAGCCATCTTCAGTTTGCATGGTTATTTTGTCCTTTTAATGTGTTTGCTTATTGTCGTCTTTGTGCTCCATCGACTTTAATTTACCGCACTTTACTTATTGAAATGGGAACCAAGCTGTGTCCAGAATTGGCGGAAAAGTGGGAAAGTTTTGAAGAAGAACCAATGTTGAAATATGGAGTATTAAGGTGCATTAATTCGATTTTTGAAAATTTAATACAATTAAAGGATCTGCTCTAAGTGATTCTGAAGGCGCAGTCTTTCTCATGTCACCCATCGCTCAACAAGGCAAATACCTTCAAGCATTTTAACCACCACGGGTTTTTCGCGTCTTGTGTCCCCACAGGGTATTCAGATAACTGTCAATTGATGCCCACGTGATGATGTCAGATAGTTGAGTAGATCTTACACGGCGTTTCTTAGTAGTATCCTCTGGCGGATGTCATAACCTGGGCCTTTTCCATAGAACATCTTGATATATTAATGTGCATAGCAAATCATCATTTCACTTTCCGTTATGGCTGCTGAATCGTTGCTCGGNTTTCTCATGTCACCCATCGCTCAACAAGGCAAATACCTTCAAGCATTTTAACCACCAGGAGTTTTTCGCGTCTTGTGTCCCCACGGGGTATTCAGATAACTGTCAATTGATGCCCACGTGATGATGTCAGATAGTTGAGTAGATCTTACACGGCGTTTCTTAGTAGTATCCTCTGGCGGATGTCATAACCTGGGCCTTTTCCATAGACCATCTTGATATATTAATGAGCATAGCAAATCATCATTTCACTTTCCGTTATGGCTGCTGAATCGTTGCTCGGTTTGTTTTTACTGAACTGCTCAAATCTCGTTTCTGCTAGTTAAATACAAAACGTTTTGTAGTTGGTCTGTTGTCCGTTTTTACGTGTTTTCAATTTCTAATATAACACATGGTATATTTAGGAAGGAACAACTCGCTGCCTCCTATGATATAGCAAAACCGTTTTACTAATCCATGTGAGTCTAATTTGTCCTCTGGATGGGCATAGTTTTGATATCTAACTCTTTCATTTAGGTATCAGCTGAGTCCGGTTTCCTTAAAACCAAATGTAAAAGCGAGTCGAAGTCAACATGGTCCTTTTCAGAATAAGCTCGCTAAGTTAGTGGAAAAGGTAGGAGACCACCATCGAATCCTCGCTTGTTAACTTTATGGCTTAAGTACAGTATAGGACATTGTTGTTGCAGTTATCGACTGAGCGAGAAATAGTCGACTTGGAACATGAAACAGGAAGGAAACTATTCAATTCCATGGACACCTTTTTCGCCTACGGGTAGGAANCGACTTGGAACATGAAACAGGAAGGAAACTATTCAATTCCATGGACACCTTTTTCGCCTACGGGTAGGAATTCGGACGGCAGTCTTTTATCAAGGTTTAATCATTTTTTAAGGCTACTGTCTGGCGATAAAGTGTACTGGCGGTTTGTTCGTGAGTTTCTACCGAAGACGCAACAGCAACTCTTACGAGCTGAATGGGGTGATATTGATGATCGGCGTTTGTCAATAGCCTGGTTGAAAGATGCTTTTAACAGAAGTACACTTCACTTTCAAATGCTTGCTTTCAGGAATAATCGGTAAGTACGCTCCGGAATATTTTTTGATGAAACATTTTTTGTAAAAGATTTGGAATGGTTTTTTAAAATTAAGGCGTTTCATTGAACGATTTTATCATCGCAATGCTTGCATGAGTAATGGTGGGATGCTTGAGGCAGTCACTGACATGATTACCAGCCTTGTGAATGTTCAGTTTGCCTTTTATGTGAGTCTCGCTACAGATTTCAATTTTTTTTTGACACTTTAAGACTGTGAACAAGTCTGTTTGAGCATGTGAGCCGTCTGCGGAGTGAAGCGTNTTTTTTTTTGACACTTTAAGACTGTGAACAAGTCTGTTTGAGCATGTGAGCCGTCTGCGGAGTGAAGCGTTCTCCATAAAATGTCTGGCGTGATTCTTGATCATTTTGTCAGCACTTCTCATTTATCTCACCCTTAAAGCTACATTTTTTAGTCTACGCTCAGTCTTCGCACAGAACCAGCCAGAGCAGTCGTTGTTGAACCCCCCGCAACGCCTATTGCAACGGCGCGAGCAAAACGGAGAAAAAGAACGGTTGGTTGCGTTGGTATTGATAAATGAGTGGCTGTTATAATTTATTGAGAAGTGTTTTTCCTTAGCCATTCCGCCTGTGAGGTCTTGATTGAGTTAGGGTTCCATCCCGAATGTAACTGGTTCATTCGTACCTTCGCAAACTAAAGTGTATGCATCATAATGGCATAATTACATCTTTGCATGTGCAAGTTGCGTAGCAACACAAAACATGTCCCAAGCTCAGACTTACATGGGTGCGAGCGAGTTCGTGTGAGCATCTGTGCAGGATGGTTACAGCTACTGTATCTACCAAAAGATTATTAACTTAAAGCTATAGATATTTGAGGCTATTCAATATATGAACCCAATTTATGTTTGCAGTGTAACAGTCTAAATTGCAATATCGTAGCTTGTTCTTTGTGAAGGAGGTGCTTGTACCATTTTGGAGACATGATTAGGTACCGTAAAGTTCTCCTCGTGAGTGCACGAGCGGCCGAGCGATCACTACAAGTTTTCTGACCGATGCTGCTGCAATCGCAAAGAAAAGAGTTGTGTCACTTTGCCATTGCACAGTTCTTCATATTCAAACGTGGGCAAGAGAAATAAGAAACGTGGAAAAAAGCGAGTTTTTGGCACCTGAAACAATTCAATAGTTGAGGAGCCTCTGTTGCTATTGATGTACTCATGTTTATAAAGCTCTTGTTTTTTTTTTTACTTATTTATCGGGTCAAGATATATAGGTCCTTTCAGGAAAGTCTGCGTAATCAACCTCCTGTGCTAAGTGAAACAATCCCAGCAGATCTAGAAACCATTCCTGTGCCTTCGCCAAAAGACCAGGTTGGCATAGTGTGTCATGTTTTTTTTTTGTTCAACAGTGATTGATAATGTTCGGAGAATTATTGGAAACGTGTCTAATATCCTGCTTATACTAGTTTTTGCTGTCATTTGGTTAGAATGTAATTTTGAGGATGCAATACTGGATGAGTTGATGAGAATGCGAAAAAGCAGGTTACATGGCTATGAAGAAAACAACCCGAATGCAAAGGTATTGTGATCATATTTGAAAACATCTGGCACATATCTTTGAATTCTTTCTACAGAATGAAAGCAACATGGATTCTGGTGTTAATACAAGTGGAAATTCTTCCGGGCCACCTCCTAGGAGTGAAGGGTTCGAAGAGGTGAGCCGCATTTGTTGTTGTTGGAAAGAGGCTCTTTTCGTGAAAGCAGAAAGTCCAACCATTCACGATCTCTTGCAGAGGCTTCTCGCACAAGATTGTAAACATTTTCTAATCTAGGTTGTGCGGAAGACGATGTCACAAGCGAATATGGAGAACCTGGGAGAGCTTGAAGCAAAATCATTTGATAGCCTTCTTCAATACGAGGAACTACCACATGAGAAACATCATGACGATGACACCTTAATTGAAGGCGAAGTGATGTTAGTTTTTGAGCTGTTATTCTTACTTTCTTTCGATGTATTTTTTATAAAAGTTTTCCTTTCAGGCTACATTCTGGAGACATTCTGAAACTAGCCATGAATGTGTACGTGAATGAGGGTGAAAGGTTGCTTCGTATGTATCATGTATATCAGCGGTTTGCTGCTGGAATGCCTCATCAGAGGTAGTGATTTTTTGTTGCGATCCAAAGTATATGCATGATATTTGAGCAAGGCTTATTGGTTGGTGTTATTTAGGCTTCTTGCCGTAACCGATCACAATGTATACGTTATTACCCAGAATATCGTGCAAGAAGAATCTGCTCGGACAGGAGTGTTCGAAGAAGGTGGTCATAATAACGTATTCTATGAAGTACACGCCATCGTACCGCTATCAGCTATTGACTATATAGGGGTACGTGAAAGCAAATTTACGTCGTTAGTAGCGTCATTACGTGGTTTTTTTCCTTTTCTCAAAAGCTTCGTAAAGAGTGTTACAAGCTTATTTAAATTGTATTCAATCATATCGAAATTTCTGATCCGAACATGATCGGCGAAGTGTCAGGCATAATTGGGAGGTGATTTTGTGTGAAATACAGACATTGAGAGAGGAAATGACGAAATGACTGGAAGAGCTCTATGCGGTTCGTTTCATGCGGACCACTCAGTTTTTTTTTTACAATCCCTGTCTGAGAATTCGCGTCTCTAAGTTTTCAGGATTTGCAAAACCATTAAATACTACAAGTAGCTCGTTGTAAATGACCATCCATATTCAATATTAGAGGTATTTGCTGGCTAGATTCATTGCCACAAATGCTAGGAAGAACACAAACATCGAGACACTCAACTCATTGGGGTGGTGAGCATCTTGCACCAATTTAACCATTCTGCTAGAAAATCCACTACGTTTTTGCATGTTTTGGCGCTAGTTTGAATTTGCTCCCCCAAGTTGAAAGAGCGATTTTATGAATGGAATGGTGAATGATTGATCTCATACCTTATCACGAAATCAGTATTTGTTGACATCATGTTCATCACTGAAGAGGCTAGCGTGATTCATTTTTTCTTAATACATCTTCATGCTGGAAATGCGCCAACATGGCAACCTGGGGGATTCAAGATCTTAGATTATCACGTATCAAAGTGTGACTAATCTTTAGACCACTTTACTTTCCCATCTGAGTATGTAATTACTTAATTACCCTTTGTACTCTCACGTATCCACTTTTCATATCAGCTATATTATAGGTTTCGACGGATTCTCAAGTGATTATTTTGTATGCAAAAAGTGGTATGCCTTTCCACACGAAAACAGAAACAGAAGGGAGTAAGGACAAAATTTGTCCGATTGCAACGGCAGATGTTCAACTTGGGAAGGCTATTGTCAAAACCATAACCACGGTACTTTCTCATTCCCCTTCTTACTGTTCACTCCTTTTCTCATTAACGCTATATCTATTGAACTTATGGGAGTTTTATTAAGGCTGTTGAAGACGGAAATCAGGAGCCACCACCCGTATTCACTGAAAGCACTCCGTATTCATTGATAATTAAGCGCTACTTGACGAAGGAGCTCAATGGATCGGTGAGTTTCAGGAGTTTAGGTCGACATTTAGTAATTTTTCTGACTTTAGCCTCACATTGAGTTACGATATTTTGCGCTCGCTTATTGGAAAGAGTCATCAGCATGCTTAGAAAAGCAGAATGCAGAAAATGTGGGCTACCTTTACAGAAGGTCTGTTTTGTATACGTCACTTTCAAGAATGTGCACATGCTCAGGCATCAAACCAAGTTTCTGACATTTACAGGATGGTCCCTCCGTACTGGTGGAGGAAACCTCCGGCAGAGTGGTTCCAAAGCTATTTCGTGTTAAAGTAAGAAGTCGTTCCACCTTTGCTCTTTGTATGATCCTTATTTGTTTCAAATTTCAACAGTTTTGGTTATTAGAGGTTCCAAAATGTATGTCTTTACTGATTCTACATGCAAAGAAGGGGAAATGGTCATAAACCTCAGGTACGCTTCTAGAATTCACACCTAAATCAATTACAAAAGGGTACATTTCAGTGATTGCACAGAAGTGTTGGAACTAGACTCGAAAAAAGATTGTCAGTGGGGATTTGAGTTGGTGTTACCGGAAGGCAACCTACAGTTGCAATGCCCAAGCAAGGACGAGATGAATAAGTGGATGCAGCTTGTAAACGTGGCTTTGAATTCACTGGTATGAGGCTTGAAATCAGAGGATGGGGGACCGATTCAATTCGAAGGGATTATGGAACGCTTCCTTTCAGAATGACGATGATGCAGCAGCGTGTATGGTGATGATAACCGATACAAATCTTGTTGTCGCTCAAGAAGGCGAGAAATGTTTCACAGACGGTTTTATTCGCACTTTGGTTGTGAGTAACTCTTTCTTTTCGATTTTGTTTTTGATTCTTCTTATTCTACTTATAGTTTTCCTTAAATACTAAACCCTCTGTGATGAAATCTGATTTTCAATTATTTCAGTCATTCACTTTACCTGAAATCCGATCTGGCTGGGTGGTACAAACAGAAGCGCACATGATTCTCTTACTGCGCGTCGATGCCTTGTATCAGTGGTTCTTTTTCCGGTCAAAGGATGAACTGAATCGCATTGTCAGACTGTTGTCGGATTACCCAATCCCTCTGACAGAAGTCAACCAAAATAGTCAAGTCGGTTGCTTATCTTTCATCGATTATAGATTCAGTGGGAACAAAGGCCACGGTTTGCATATTTTTAAGGAGAAAACGGCTGCTTATGTTCTCAACGAGTGTGGAAAAATACCTGATCTTTGGCACAAAGCAATATTCGCTTCGGAGGGTTTTGAGACAGAACCGTAACTGAGTACACAAGCTTTACCAAATACAGTATATAGTGTGTATATGGTTGTGCATATTCTATACTTGGTTGTTATCTGTTTTAATAATTGTTTCAAAGGCCGTCAATTGTAATTAAGTTTTGGCTAGTTAATATTTAGTAATGCGTGGCATTTATGCTGCTGTGACTAGTTGGCGAATCTATTCGCTCTCTTTAACTGCTTTGCTTACAGGGTGCGGTACAAATAAACGAGGTAGGATAGAGGGCTGAATGCATTTGCCAAGAGGTTTCGTGAGCTTTTAAGCCGTCGAAAGCCAGCTTATGGTTTCTTCTTTGGAAGTCTGCTGGAAAGCGACCTCCGAAGCGGAAATCGATGTGAACCCTTCCATGCCCTCTGCCTCCTTGAGCTTTGATCATCTTAAAGCTTTCAATGTTGAAAAGAGCTCGAAAATCTATTGCAGATGGGGTTGTAAAACTCTCTTAATGTAAATTACTAATTCATTAGCGTCTCTTCAAAGTGGATAATGACCAAAAATTTCATAATAGCTTAACATTCCTTTCAACAATTGTAACGCATCTTGTAATTCTATCTTCTCATGCAGGTCTTGTTCGTTTTGGGTTCTCATGTGATATTACTGACCACCGACCGAATGAAACATTTTTCTCATGCCTTTCTAGTCGTACATTCAGTGGCTACAGCCGGATCGTACCGTTTCTTTTGTCTCGTTTGCTTTCCTTGTTATGTTCGATATGGTCGCCAGTGAATCGTGGCTGGTTGTAATTAACGAGAAATTCCGTTGTAGTTGATGCATCCACCTCGTCGTCGGCCAAAGTTGTCATACGACAAGGGACGATGTGTTCCAGTAGGATGGAAGCCGCTGGTTGTTGATCCCCGAGTACGCAGCTACATTTACGCTAGAGCAAAACGTACATGCTTGGAAGCAAGAGATCGTAAGTGCTTCATCTATTTAAAATTTTTCCATCTGATGCCGCAGTCGCAAGTCGAAGTCGCAAGGGCTTAATGCGGGTTTAGAGCTTATCATGTTGGAATTTATAATATATATGTCGAAGTAAAGAAAACGCTTTCACAGTATGAGTTGTCTTTACATTACTGCTGATTTTTACATTGCTTGTTAAAGGAGAAGCTCAACGACGAGCTGCGGAAGAACGCCAGCGTGAGCGCCAACAAATGCGTGAACGAGTTGATGAGGATTTAGAGGCATGCGAAGCTGAGGTAAGTGTTTGCTCTCATGTACAGTGAATATGTAGTCAATGCAAAGCAATGAATGAAAAGTTTTTCCAAAGCATTCATGGACCAGTTTTTTCCTACTTTCAAACTGTTATACAACAAACCCAACACCGTTTGTGATTTACTTCAATACGATTTTGTTGCAGCTGGAACGAGTAAAGGCGCGACGGGATGAGTTAGCAGCAGAGAAACACGAATGCTTCACAAAGCTAAAGGCTTGCCTTCAGCGCGAGTCTATGCAAAAGAAAGCGGAAGATGAACGTAAACGAAGGGTGGGTTCTGCTTTGAGAATAGCTTCCGAGAGAAAAGTTAAAATAGTTCCTTTCAGGAGCTGCTTACACTTCAAATACAGCAACCATTCCTGGCCGCGACAATTCAAGCTCAGGCACAGGCTCAAGCACAAGCACAGGCAAACAGCCTAATATCAAATCAACACCTGCTGACACAACAAAATTTACTATCACAGCACTTTTCTGCCCAAAATCTCTTGAACCAGCAGGCGTTGCTTCAACATCAACAACTACTTGCGGCACAAAAGTTCCAAGAGCTGGCTCAAGCTCAGCGCAATCTTGTTCAACAGCAACAAAATGCCGCACAGGTAACTGCGCAGCAAGCTTTACCTGCTGGAATAACGCCCGCCTATCTACAACAAGCGCTTGGTCAAGTTCAGGTA